ATATATATATATATATATATATATATATATATTTATTTCTGAGATGAGGTATTATATACAGTATTTACATTAGTCGGACTATTGTCCTCATCTTTGTCGCCATATTTGTCACAACGTTTCGGCCGTTGTACGCTCCGGCCTTCTTCAGGTGGTCAAGGACACATGGCACAGTGGATAAAGGCGTTGGTTAGATCCAGTGACCAGACCCAAAGAATGTGAGTTCAATACCCGGTTAAGGCAGTGGAGAACTTTCAGAGGGAAAATTAACAGGAGATAACTGATAACTGACATCCATCAAACATGGCACGTGGAACTAGAACAGTCTACCCCAGTGATCGAAATAAAGGGTTCAGTTCGAAATTCCAACCACCTGAAGAAGGCCGGAGCGTACAACGGCCGAAACGTTGTAATGAATATGGCGACAAAGATGAGGACAATAGTCCGAGTAATGTAAATACTATATATATATATGTGTGTGTGTGCGTGTGTGCGTGTGTGCGTGTATGTATGTATGTATTTATGCATGTATATACATATATGTTCGTTTGTTTGTGTGTGTGTGTTTAAATAAAGACAAATTGAAAATTGACCCCAAACTAAAGTGGAAGGTAATAAAAAATGCCGCAAATATAAGGACGGCGATAGATATTCCCTCCTATGCATGCAGGAAAAATTAGCCATAGTCACTTCAAATAATCCCAACATGTTACTTACCAGAGATCGGAAATTTTCAATGGCTCTAGGCACAAAAAGCCTGGTTACTTGAATAAAATGTTAGTAGTTGGTTGGTTTTTAATTATTTTTTTTTTTTTTTTTGCTTCGTGTGGCCGTCTTTTCCATAAAATATTTTTGGCCTACCCTTCTGTTTTTTCTTGTTTTCTTCAAGTTTTTTTGTTTATGCTAAATTTTATAATTTCGTTGTGTCTGTTTTTACTAATAAAATATCGTTTGGACCAACCCCCTCTTTAGCCAGTAGTACCCTGAAAATCTTACACCACTCAGTCTATTGAGCCCTTTTTAACGTTTCTTTTCTTTTTATCTGTCGGTGTTTTTTTTCTTTTGACTTAGCATTAAGGTGTTGATTGATTATTTTCGACCAACACGGATATCTTAAGTCTTTTCTTTCTTTACTGATTTTTTCCCCTGACATCGGTTTGTTCAAAGATATCTTTATTTACAAATTGTATTATCCGTTTTTTTTTCACACCACCAAAGTATAGGTATTAAAAGAATATACAATGTTGTTCGATAAAAGTGACTCACCTGATTTTTTTTACTAAAAATATTTTTTTGTCTATTGTTTTTGGGGTTAAACTAATTTTTAATCTTACTAATATAAAGACCCCTTCCCGACCACCTAGGAAAAAAGTTTATTCACCCTAAGGTATTCTATTGATAATTATAAATTTGGATATAAATGAGATTCAGGAAAAAACTCTTTGCAAAAAAAAGTGATATCGCATTCTAATGATTAAACTGGTAAATTTAAAGAGCTTTTGACAAAATATTGAAAACTATTTTACAATACACTCAGAACAATATTATAGAGAATTCTAGAACAGCTTAAATTAAATCTAGAGTATTCCAGAATATTCCAGAAAGCCTCATACAGTATAAAAACAGCTTGAAATAGCCACTCAAGTCACTAACCAGATGAAAGGGTAGAAACACGCATCAGAACCACTTAAGGCATCTATTATTGCCCTCTCAAAAGCAGGCAAGTCTACGAGAGAAATTGCTATAACCTCGCAATCAACTGTCTCTCGAGTGCCTAGGGCACATAATGATGCCACTCCTGCTCCAAGGAAGGAAACAAGGGGACAAAAGAAAAAGATTGATGATAGAACTGGCAGGGTAGTCAAGAGAGAAGTTGCAAAGAATAGGACTATAACTAGCCAAGAAATTGCAGCCAGTCTAAGCGAAGAGCAAGGTGTTAGTCTTGCCTCTTCAACAGTCCGTCACTGGCTGTTGGAACAAGGCTACAAATCTTGTACACGAAGGTTTAAGCCGCTAATAAGCAAAACTAACAAAGCCAAGAGACTTGAATGGGCTCACTATTACAAAAATTTCACCGTAGAAGATTGGAAGAATGTTCTATTCTCCGATGAAACTAATTTGAGCTAAATTCAAAGGATAAGGTGAGTCACTTTTATCGAAGAGCACTATATATATATATATATATATATAATTATTTATTTAAAAATATAAAATAAATATGTTATAACATCACTACAAAAATAGCCATTTTGTTTCAACACCTCCAGTGTCTTATCAAGTGATGATGTTGAATGTAGAATAAATGGTTTTAAAAGTTTCAAATCAATTAACGATCCTTCGCAAGGGGAAAACGCTGTTACATACGCTAGAATTACCAATCAAAACACAAGTATAGGAGAATTCAAAAAACTTGACAACGAAGTAAGGTTATAAGGAAGACCAGCCGATATTAGCGTCTATTCTAACGTAATTTCAATGAAAAAATAAATTGTATAGCATATTATTTTTTCTTTTCTCCTCAGTAATTTTATAATTTTAAACTTAATAGAGATTAAATTTAGATTTTAAAATTGGTAATTTTTTACTTTTAATTTTAATATCAAATTTTATCATATAATTTAATACTTATTGGTTAGAATAAATTCTATTTTATTATAACCCCAACTTGAAAGCTTTTAATAGATATTATAACCTAACTCCATATTGAACACTCTTTTAAGAAGAGTAATTGTTGGTTATTGAATTTATTCCGTATACACCAATCCTATACTTGATATATATATATATATATATATATATATATATATATATATATATATATATATATATATATATATATTTAATTTAAAGAGAAACAGACAACTTTAAGGTTTCATAAGAATACAATTTATTTCCCCAGGGATTTTCTTCTTCCCTGGATCATTAGACCTCACTTCCAAGGATGAAAAACTGAATTTAAACTTACACTTTTGGAGGGTAGTATTAGACGATGTAAGGTGATATAGAGGGTAGAGAGATATAGTGTGACAGACATGGTCGAAATTAGAGAGGGGAGGGAGAGATCGTAATGTTTTTGAATTTATTTTTATTACAATACTTAATGGAGAGAAAGTGGGGTAAGGATCAGACACTGGCCTATTTAATCGGTCAACTGACCGGAAACGATATATAGAGAAAAAAATACAGGGGGGAGTATATATATATATATATATATAGAGAGAGAGAGAGAGAGAGAGAGAGAGAGAGAGAGAGAGAGAGAGAAAGAAAGAAAGAGAGAGGAGAGTCAGAGAGAAACTCTAACATGTGACGTAATCATTGTGTTCAAGTATGAAACAGACTGTTGCCGCTCAGTCTAACTCTGATTTGAGTTCGTTTACCCATGAATATAGATATACCTGAACACTCTATTTGTTAACATTATTACATAACCTTATATGCTAGCATGAAACAGCTTGTCGCCTCTGAGTGTTGACTTCAATGTTCACTTTTATATATATATATATATATATATATATATATATATATATATATATATATATATACCCATTGCAATGAGAACGAAAGTAATATATGAATTCTAACGTTCACAACATTAATCCAAAAGAGGCCTTGATACCGATTGTAGAGCGATAATTGTTTATTATAATTATACCATTAGACAAAAACAATTTGCTAACTACAAAGATGCAACTTCGTTTCGGTGCATTTCAACTGCATTTCGACTGGTGAGAACCAAATAGAAAAAAGGAAGTCACGTTTCACATACGGCTTACCCACAAGTAGAATTATTCATAACCATTTTTGGTTCTCACCCGTCGAGGTGCAACTGAAATGCACCGAAACGTTGTTGCATCTTTGGAGTGAGTAAACTATTTTTGAATAGATGATAAAATTATAATATATATATATATATATATATATATATATATGTGCGTGTGTGTGTGTGTGTGTGTGTGTGTGTGTGTGTGTGTGTGTGTGTGTGTGTGTGTGTGTGCAGGTGTGCAGGGACCTAGAAATGCATAGAATTCTATTCAGGTGTACAGTAAGCCCACTGGGAGTGAAGGACACCTTATTCTCGTAAGGACATCGCAAATACAAATAAAGTTATAAATTTTTTAAAGTGCGCACTAACTATATGGACACTCTGTATATATATATATATATATATATATATATATATATATATATATATAATTATTTTTTAGAAACTATGATCCATCGTTACATAAAATTTCTCATGTTTCAAAAACAGAAGCTAAAACATTCAATTCAGTTTTAGAATTTAAGTACATAGTTCTGTTTCATCTCCAAGCGAATTTTGGAATAACTAATTTTGAAATTTACGGAGCTTTATAAGCATATACATTCGTAATATTAATTTCTATGAATATAGAGAAAAGAAAACATCATTTGAATACCCTACCGCTTCCTATTAAAATGACGTGTTTTCTCCATATACATAGAAATTAATATTACGAAAATTTCCGTAAATTTCAAAATTAGTTATTCCAAAATTCGCTTGGAGATGAAACAAGGCTAGATACTTTAATTTGATTTAATTTCTATAATTGAAATTGAAAAGTTTTTAGCTTCTGTTTTTGAAACCTGAGAAATCTTATGTAGCGATGGAATCATATTTTTAAAAAAATAATTATAATCTAGGCTCTACTTGTGTATCGAGCACTGTTTTTTAAAAAATAAACACAAAAATAATAAAAAAAACTTCTGATTATTAACCTCACGCACACACACACACACACACATGTATATATATATATATATATAAACTTCCTCTTAGCAGGTTGACTTCTGTGTGTATAGTTTAGATTAGTTTAACTGGAATCGATTCTTTCTTTATATTGATATACTCACCAACGGGTTTATAGGCCCGATTCTTCCCTTGGTGAATTTGAGGGTACCTTCTAGGTCAACCGATTGCTATCACCGCTAAGTTGACTTTCGAAGGTTACACCGAGCACAAAACTGTCTTTTCCTAAAAATGTATGGGCAGAGAGGAACAAAGACGAGGCACTACCGAAGGGCAGTGTCTCGTTTGGGGAGGGAGGAAAACCCGACCCTGTTATAACGGGGTCTACGGGGAATTTTTGCGCCGGGGATACGGGCTAGGGGGAAATGCACGTTAAAGCGGCCTAGCGCTCATTTGTGGAGAACTCGGGTATATACCGAGTTAACATTAGGTCTATTGCTAAGTGTACATTCGTATAATAAAAAAAAACTTCTTTTTAATTACTTACCAATGAGTTTGTCTTCCTTATTTATTTCCCTCGAAAACGTGAGATACAACGCTAAGTCTGTTCATTATCTATCTATCTATCTATCTATCTATCTATCTCAGTCAGTTCATATCTATCTATCTATCTATCTAGCTATCTAGCTATCTCAGTCAGTTAATTATCTCTCTATCTATCTATCTATCTATCTCAGTCACTTCATATCTATCTATCTAGCTAGCTATCTCAGTCAATTCATATCTATCTATTAGTAAGTTCATATCTATCTATCTATCTATCTATCTATCTATCTATCTATCTCAGTCAGTTCATATCTATCTATCTAGCAAGCTAGTTAGCTCAATCAGTTCGTATCTAACTGGCTAGCTCAGTCAGTTCATTATCTATCTATCTATCTATCTATCTATCTATCTATTAGTCAGTTCATATCTATCTATCTATCTATCTATCTATCTATGTGACGTCGCCCCCCCTGGTCGCAGCGTCGGCTCTGTCGTTCGATCTCGTTCGCGGCACCAGTTGTGACGTCGCGTGCTCTCCAGGCTCTGATATCCTGGTCACGGACAGCACCAGTTGTGACGTCTTTGCCGCGGCGTCAGCTGTTCGCTCCTCGCTGCTCCAAGTGTGACGTTCTAACCCTTTGGTTAGATGAATACCAGCCTCGCCGTTCCCAACTCGCTTCCAACGCCTGGTTACTAGGGTAACTGCACTGATCTCCGGTCTGCCTACCCACGTTGTGATTAGATCTTAGACAGACGGGATCAAACAGGGTTGGGGCCCTATGCCAGCTGGGTTCAACGGGGTGATAACACACAAGTAAAAGAAAAAATCACGAGGTCAAAAATTATTGAAAAAAAAGGGTAACAACCTTTTATACCTAAATGTTCGTTACACAAAATTGTTCCTACCTCCCGACCCGTTTTATGGACTGTGGCACCAAGCTTCTACTATACAACTTTAAGACTTCGAGTTGCTTGTTCTCTAGAAATTTGCATTTCGGGGTGTGGTTTGGTTTCGACACTGGGCGCTGATCTCTACCAGTCGTTCACGGCTGATTTCCCTCGCCGTCAGTGCGCGAATTAACTTCTCTTCTGCTTCGGGTGGACGAATTTATTCACTTCGACTTGAGTTTGGATGAATTTATTCACTTCGACTTGTCTTGGACGAATTTCTCTTCATAGGCTTGGTGTGATTCCAACTTCTCCTAGTCACAACTGCAAGTTAACTTCTTCTTCGTCCGAGGCGCAAACCCAACTCCAACTGCAACTTCTCTGCCTGTCCGGCCTGTAACTGTCTCACCGTCCGCCCTGCAACTCTTCTGCCTGTCCGGCCTGCAACTCTTCTGCCTGTCCGGCCTGCAACTCCAACTTAACTTCTCTTCGACTTTCGGGCTGCAGCTCCAACTCTTCTTAGGCTTTCGGGCAATTTTCTTCACTTCGACTTGGGCTGGACGAATTTCTTCACTCCGGATTCCCTTGCCCGCAAAGGGGCGAATGAACCGGGCCCGCCGCCCGCGTTCAAGCTCCCTCGCTGTCCGCCCTGCAACTCATTTCTGTCGATTGGGGTCCTGCTTTTATTGACGCCGTAACAAACTGGGGTGGGTCTGTCGGCGCCAGGGTTTTCTTGATAATTCCAAAAGTCGCATTATTTCTGATTTCCCATTATCGCTCTTACTTTCACTCCTACTTCCTTACAGTGCCTCTGGGGGGGAGGCGCATACCCGCTTCCCCTGGTCTCTCGTATGTCAGGTGACCGCTCTCGACCAATGGGGTCCTGGTCGAGCATCTTTCCTCCTCCCTCACACATCACGTGACCGCTCTCGGCCAATGAGACTCTGGTCGGGTGTCTCTCCTTCTCCCTCATGTATCATGTGACTGCACTCGGCTAATGAGACTCTGGTCGGTATCTTCCCTCCTTCCTTCGTGACGTCTCCAATCGGGCGTGGACAATCCGTGGCTTTGTTCTGGGGAAGAAACACCTTGCCAAAAAAACAAAATTTAAATTGTCCTTTTCGTATACGCGGTATTTGTCAAAACAGCCCGCCGCTAATTAGATGTGACTTCCAGGAAAGACTTTTTCCGACCCGTCGGCGTCTTCCGCGAGCTAAAACAAATATTTCACCTCTTTCTTTCGCTCGGGCCTGTTAACAAAATCTTAATTATCTAAATTGAAAATATCTTCCACTCATCATTTTGGGTGGTTCTTATCTTCAACCCCAGAACTGGTCAGGGTTCGTGTACCAATGTTTTGTTTTCGTATACATTTCCCAGCGGTCACTTATCATCTCAATGACACCCCTTTTCGTTTGTTACCTATTAATATTTTTTCCATTGTCCTTAAAATCTTATTTCTTCAACCAAATTGATAACAAACTCCCATACTCCGCGGACACGAAAGTAGGTCAGGTGCTTGACCGACATCTGTTATGCATCAATCGCGCGTGTGCCTATTCGCTCACTACCCCGTCTCGTATCATTATTTCTAAACTCTATTCCTTCAACCAATTATAACAATTTCTATTTTCCGTGGATTTCGGTCAGGTACTTTGACCTAGATATCTTTTGACACCTGTTCTGTGTTAGTTTTAAGCGGGTCTGCTTATGACTGGGTTTTGTACCATCTATTTCTCTCTCTTTTCTTTTTATTTTTTTTTCCTTTTTCTTTCTTTCGGATCGCCTAAATACAATTAGAGAATTATTCTCAAAACTCAATTATTCTTCGTCTCTAAATAACTAACAACTGGTTAACAAACCGAATAAATTAAATCATATTTTTATGAATATCTCTCTTCAGTTTTCTAATGATGCATGGTGCCACATCTATCTATCTATCTATCTCAATCTGTTCATATCTATCTATCTATCTATCTATCTATCTATCTATCTATCTATCTATCTTATTCTTTGTCTGTTTCAGACCATTTCTATATTGAGTCTATTACTTTCTCTGTCAATTCTCTCTTTTTATCATATTGATTTCACTCCTCTCTCTATCGACATACCTTGCTTATATGCATACATACACACACACACACACACACAGACAGATATTAACTTGAATTAGGTCTCTTATTTATTGTAAGAATAATTCTTTTTTTTGTTTCAAATGAATATTGCATTTAATGCTGTAAGAATGACAATGACATTTCCCAGAAACAAGTCTTACTATTTGACCCATAACTAAGGGGGGAAAGATGGATTCATACATTTCTTAACTATATTTGCACGTAAGTGAATGTCGCGAACAAACCCGAGTGCTATTCGAATTATGGAAATAAATAGCGTCTCTGAATTCGAACACGGGTCTTAGATTTCACATTCCGAGCGGCTATCGATTACACCACCTGCACTTCAAAATATATGTGAATTAGGCTGACATTTCTTCGCATTGACATAAAATACTGCACAGAATGAGATATATATATATATATATATATATATATATATATATATATATATATATATATTTGAACAAGTTTATATATATTTATTGTTATGGTCCGGTTCCTTGTACCACGGTGATAGTCCAAGATAGAACCAATAAAGTAGAACTCGAACACAGGTATGGAATAACACAGATATATTACAAACAGGAATATATACAGAGAAGTAGAATCAGCTTTAGTAGAGAGAACAATGTAGTCTCGACCAGTATCACTATTCCAATGTGTTGGAGTAATTGTCTGAACGTGACTCTGTTTCGGACTGCCTCTGACTCGACTGACTGACTCGCTCTGATTGACTGACAGACTCCTGACGGACCTCACTCCAGACTTCAGACTGAACTACACTGTGATTCCACTTGAGGCGCAGTATTTATTACGTATGGAATAGTCCATCATGTTATTATGGGTAAGGTCCCATAACATACATATATATATATATATATATATATATATATATATATATATTTTGGACTCTATAATGATTATTATAATTATGATTATTTCAAATCCTCCTAATTATTTCTATTTGTATATCCTTACTTGAACCGGCTTCTAATGCTCTGGACTGAACGGCTTGGGGATAGTAGTAATCGTGGCTCGTGGAGGTACAGTCCTATGGGTTAAAGAGGAACTTGGATGAGTCCCACCACGCAATATGTGATCGAGTGGCGCAATATCGAGTCCAATTTGTTACCTCTTCGTCACCGAGCTCCGTTGGTTTATGTTGCTATGGCATTTTCCTTCTATCGTAACAGTTCGGGTTTCAATTCTCGGTAGTGGATGCGCACTGCTGATGACAGCAAATATAGGACGAAACGGCCGTCAAGTGTTTTCTGCATTCTGTTGAGGTTTCTTCTAGACTCGATGAATTATTTAAGAATGATTATTTCAAATCTTCCTAATTATATATATATATATATATATATATATGTCAAACAATGATTCCCATTTTTTCTCTTGACACCCACATTTCTGTAGACTCATTCGTTATTGTTTGCAAGGATATTTTTAGAATTTGAATAAAACCCAGATATTTGAAACTAAGTATAAATATTTTTATATAAATTTACATATGTACTTTGTTTTTATATATTTATATGTATTACTATCATCCACAGACAGACTGTTTCGATGTATCACAGCTAATCAGTGTGGCTAGACATCCGATTGCTTCACATCGGGATTGAAACTCGTGTGATTTGACATCAGTCGGAGATTTTACTCCTGAGCTATCAGCGCCCGGTTAGAGAGGAATTTTTACGTACCTATTCTCCGAATAAACTCGCCAATGAGCGACGGTGCTCAATTCATAGAAGAGTTACAATAAATATATATATATATATATATATATATATATATATATATATGTGTGTGTGTGTGTGTGTGTGTGTGTGTGTGTGTGTGTGTATTAAGACATTTTTTTATGTTTATACATTCTTTTTATAGATACAAATATTTAAGAAACTGCTCTGTTTATAATAAACAGTATTAACGACATTTACCGGCTTGAATGTCCGAGAAATTTTCATAGAAAATATGCGTCCTCCGAAAGGAATCGAACCTGTATCCTATACGGAACCGTCATATAGCCTGACGTGCTTTACCGATTGATCCACAAAGGGGCGTTTCGGTCAGCAAGATCGATTTCACTGTTTTTAAACTACAATTCTCCATGATTTTCTCTCGTACATTCATGTCTGCTCAGTGCGTATCCAAATGTAAACAAATGAAGGCTATAGGATATAGTTTTGATTCCTGTCGGAGGACGCATATTTTGTATGAAAATTTCTCGGACCTCAGACCGGTAAATGTCGTTAATACTGTTTATTTGTCATTTCTCGTATATATATATATATATATATATATATATATATATATATATATGGCTTCTTTACATATAAGCTTATGTAAGGTGAAGGAAGGTTAGTGTAGATACATATTAATCTTGTATGTATATTTGTAGCTTGTGTTATTGTTGTGGTAGGAT